TAATGATATGATTATTATAACAGTATAATGCTATTTTCACTACTCTATACAGCATTTACTGCAAGACAACSATCTAGAAATAGGTTTATGCACCTGGCATTCTACACCTGCTGCTCATTATCATAGCTTGCTAGTCAACTCGAGGCAGGTTGACTATCATTAACTGGGRTTTGTCGCATAAAAGGTACTCTAAACCTACTTCAAAACTAGCCAAAACATCGAAAATGATGGAATAACTCTATCAGTGTTGTTACCGATCAGTAAACCCMAAAAATATGCGTTATTTTTAACACATTTTAATGTTGCAACAATAATCTCTCGCTAAAGAGTGAAAGAGTACAATGACATGCCTTTTTTACACTGTCTTCTCATGTCTTATTCACAAAAATTCTAGAAATTAATACGCTTTTTTCTTTAGTACATAATTTACAATAACTGCGAAATTATATTCATGCAGTTTTACAATGTGTATTCCTAATTACTACAGTTAATATACTGTATACACAAACAAGAGTACAAAATCAAATTTGTCTTTCTTATCTTCAAAATTCAATTGCTCTTACTTTTAATAATTTYAAATTAAAGTCACTGTGTTTATAGTCCCAACTTTACAGCCTAAGAACAGGTTAGTGGGGAAGGAGCGTCGCGTGACGGCACTAAAAACGGCTACGGGGGAGACTACTGCATTTATCAATATTATTTTTTTCCCGCGTGTGGTGATTTATTAAAGCCTTTACTAACATACTGGGAATTCCTACAAAATATGTTACATATCTTTAAGTGTAACATGACAACGTTTAAATAGATAGCCTATTGGTGGAATCACTAAACTTTATACGTTCTTACCGATCACCAGGGCTCGGATGTACGAAKGGTGCATAGCACTATCCGATGGATAAATCCTTCCGCTCAGGTTATCGAAACGTCAGTCGCATCAAACAGTCCTTCTCAGGATTACATCAATCCGGATGATAATAATACTTCGATCAAAATCCTTATGCAGTGGATAGGTCGATGCTGTTATATCCAGTACATTTATCTACTATACAAGATTTATCCATCGGATAGGGCTTTTCACCCTTCCTACAACCAGGCCTATATAAAACGATTATGTGACGTGTTTCAATGGGAACTGTCGCCACGCAGCTATCCTTTCAAAGTATACGCATCATAAAAGCAAGTTATATATCAGCTTTATAGAGTTCATACCATATACCCGTGAAAAAGTTAACTAAAAAAATTATACAAATTTGTGCAAAGTTTCGTAGGCATACGGTCTACCGAGGTCTAACTGAARGTAATAATTTGTGCAAATTTGAACAATTTCTTACAAATTTTTTCGTGAATATATGCCATGTACCCCATCAGTGATATACAATTCARTATTTATATTATTCCTTTCTTAATCTAATCTACTTATTTATAGTTTTATTCTGTTGGAAGCCACAGTGAGACGCAACGTTAGGACAGAGTGCCTAACGAAGATCAGCCTTCTACTGTACTTTGACTTCTGTTTCTACATGAAAGCTCTTCTTCACAGACCAGGATGGTTTCTGGTATCTTCTTTGCCTGGAAGATCGCACTTTTGYAGGGTCTGATTGCTGTTGGTAGTGTCTCTGCATTTTGTGTAAATTGAGCTGGCTTACATCGTGTTTTGTTCTAGAAAATGTCCAAGATCTTCAAATATATTCGGTTTATTGATCGAAGACGTTTCGCTTTTTGTTGCCTATAAGTCCATGTCGCTTGCAACAAACGTCTTCTTCTTTGGATGCTCTTCGTCTTTAAAATCCTTGATGGCAGTGAGGTCTTGAGCGCCTGCTTCAAGGAACTCTGCTTCACCTTTTTCTCTCCAATTCTTTCTGCCATCTTGCTTCTCAGGCGTTGACTCCAATGTCGTTTTCTTTAGTTTGTTGTTAAAAGGTATTCGTTTCTTCATCGACTTTTTCATCAGTTTGAAGAATTTGTAAGAGAAACACCAAAAGAAGACCAGCAAGTCGAATGCTTTCCATCCTAGACTTCGTRAGAAAAATCTTCCTCTGTTGGTTGTGTACCCCAAAGCTCTCTTTTCTAACTTCATCTCATAGACTATGTAGGTTTGGGCAATTTTTTCCCTGTTTTATAGAGAGTTTTATGACATGGTCTTACTGTGAATCGACTTCGCGTGAAATATTAAGCTTTTAAGCTTTAAAAAAACAAACCCCACAAAGATGGGAAAC